GCATGCTGAAATGCTCATCTTCCTAAAAAAGAATCTGCATATCATGCTTGGACTGCAGAAATCAGAGATGGAGCCATAGTTAGTTAACTGACTAACTTTAGTATTTGTTAAAAGAGTGATGTGTTTATTTTGTTCACTATTGCTTGAGTGAAGACTAAGCAGTTGTTCCCATCATATCAGCAGCACCAGGCTGGCTCTGACAGGAAAAAAAAATACTGAAGTGACCTTGAATTATTGTTTTGCACTTTAAAAATWTATTTTATTTTGTTGGATTTATTGAGAGTATTTTTCAGGGTCTTCTAATTTTATTTATTTTTATTTTATTCAGCTGAAGAATTTTCTTGTTAAGTTTAAAATTGATGTAACCCATTGGTTAATAATAAATGGGTCAGTTTTTCTCATAGCTGCTGTTGTTGAGTATTGTTTTCTGTTTGAATATCACACGTTCAAGACTTTTCTTAGATTCCACAATACAAAATAAGTAATAAAAGCATATAATTTGTGCCGATATCGGTATCGGACAATATCGGTATCGGCCAATCCTCAAGGCTGCAATATCGGTATCGTATCGGAAGTGAAAAATCTGTATCGGACACCCCTAGCAGCATATGCTTCCAGAGACCATCTTTTTCAGGGAAGGCTTTGCAAGGTTCAGGGGCGATTGTGGCAGAGTGGTTAGAAAGGGTCGTTCCTCTAATGCGAGACTTGGTCGTTTGATTCCCTGATTGATTCTGATACGTGTCTAAGTTTCCCTGGGCAAGACCCTGAACCCCCACTGCCTCTGATGTGTGTCCCATCAGTGTATGAGTGTGATTTAAATGACTGATTAGTCTTTATAGATTGCTTTATCTATATTAGCTTTGTAGAGAGAGCTAGAGCGCTGAATGAGTGTGTGTGAATGGGTAAATGAGGACACAGTTTGTAGTGTAAAGGGCTTTGAGTATCCTGGTTGGATATAAAGTTTCTATATAAGTACAGTCCATTTACCATAGTTCAATAGGACAATGTTAAACCACACACCATATCCATTATAACAGCACGGCTTCCGGGACCTTCCTGCAGTCATGACTTCTCAATTAAAATCATTTGAAATATTTGAAACAAAAAAATCCAGCAAAGATGACAGTTTTAGAGCTAGAATCCCACATCAGACAAGAATGGGAAAATATTCCCTCCAAAACCTCCTCAGCTCCAAGATATTCGCAGACTGTTGGTAAAAGAAGGGATGCTTCACAGTGGAAAATATGCACCTGCAACAACTTTAAAGAGATTTGTTGCTGCCATCAAATTCAAAATTATCTAGTTTTTCCTAAAAAAGTGCAATTTCTTAGTATTGATATCTTTACATTGCTCCATTGTGATTGAATGAAGAGTTTATGAGATTTACAAATCACTGCATTAAGGTTTTACTTACATTTTGCACAATGTCCCAACCTTTTCAGACCTGGGGTTGTACATTATGGAGTCATCCTAAAAAGCAAAATTCTTTCATCCTTAAGCTTACATTCTCCCTGCATTTCTACAGTCTGGCACATACGACACTTCTTTCTTCATCCTGTCAGCGCTAAGCATTCATCTTTTGTTGGATTTTGTTCACGCACTCCCACGCACAAAGCTGTCCACGACAGCTTGCTTGTCTCTCTTGGCAGCCTCGCACTTTTCAAAATTAGCAACGCAAACAACAAATCCACATGCCAAGACCTGGACTCCTCAAATAATAATACTGGCGGGGGAGGAGATGGGCAGGAACACGGTCGGCTTGTAACTGGCCTCTGGAATTCAGAAAGAAAACAAAACCACATGGCTCGTTTCTTAATCTGTGAACAAGAGTGAAAATATCAGCACCACAATAACCTGGAGCACTAGAATGTTCAGGCAGACAGTACCTGAGATGTTTCTGTACTCATTAGGCTGTGGCATATCAGGACAAAAACATATCCTCTGTTGGCAGGAGGAACAGTCTGATGCTGCTCTGCTGTCAGCGTGACTTTAACACCTACACACCACCGCTGGCTTATTAGAGTCGTGGTTACAGGTGGATGCATCGTCTGAGTGAGTGGCATGTAAAAGCATTCAGGGCAGCAGCTCAGTTAGGACAACTTTTATTAATTTGTCATGCAGTTTCAAGCCCAGAACTCTGCATATCTTCTATCTGCATATCTTCTATTGTTAGGTGATGGCCCTCTTTTGCATGTGACTAACCTGTTTGTCCACCATGTGGAGGCAGTGCTTATAAGGCTGAGTTCACTTGAAACTCATCAGACTGAACAAGTCTCTTGGAGGAGAGACGACATGTTTCACTAAAGAAGAACCCATCCAGAGGACCTACTTATTTTTTTCTTTTTGATCTGCATATCTTCAACTGCAAACAAAATTTTAGTAGCTATTTTTATGACTTTTTAGATGCGCCATGTCCTGGATGACAGGATTTACAACAATGTTGGTGTCAGAGTGTTTTGATGCTAGTGTTTCTAATCCATACTTTAGTTTGTTCATTTATTTTTAGTATGCATTCCTCCTGCTCAGTAAGTGAAACTGAATTCTGATCCAAATAAGATTTTTCACTTGAGCATTAACACCTGAAGTGTAAACTAGTGTGTCCTGTGTATCAGTATCTGTACCGATACCAGAGTTTTTACAAGTACTTATACTCGTGCAAAGTGCCCTGATACCCGTTACCAATATCAAAACTACATTCAAATGTTAAAGTATTAATGTTGAATGAAATATATTTTTTAAAATTTTGCAACAGTTTATATCATGCTGTATTTGATTTGATCCAGTCAGAGTGGCTGCAGGCCTGTAAGGAAGGAGAGTCACCTTGTTCTAAATATTCTCCAGGACAAATTGGAAAAGGACTGTCTGATTGTTATCAGCTCAAAGTTCAAAAGTCAGCCTCTCTGATGGTATGGGGGTGACCTTGTATCACCTTCTAGCTGATTTATTTACATGAGGACAGTTTTACATACTCCCAGCTTTAACCAGATTTTATTCGTCTTTAGTAAATGATTTAATACTTTTTGAATGTGTTAAAAACCAGTGTGCCACACAAGTTCACACTGCCAATGATCTTTGCCTACAGGTTGAGAACCACTGCTCTAAAGACCACTAAAAATATCTTTGGAAGAGTGTCAATATTTGTGTTCAATCACAGCTTTCTGCTTTAGGCTGGTCAAAGTTAAGCTTAAAGAAAAAGAAACGCACATAAGGCTACTGTTGGAACTCTGAGGATGGTGTAAATAAAAAATGACAGTAAAAACAGACTGGTCAGGTAAATATTTAATCTGCTCTAACAGGAGAAACAACAGTGGCTGTGTTTGTGTTCTTTGTTATATTTAGTCAGTATCTAAATATTTAATTTTTATTTTAAGTGTGCATCTGCTATGTACAACTTTAGTCTTAATTCTCATATAAATGTTCAAAGACAGAAAACTTAAATACATAAGGAAAGCTTCTTGATACCTTAATTTTGCAAGAAACAAGTTCCTCACAATCTAAAATGAAGCATTTGCGGTTTCCAAGAATGTTTCAGTATAATTGGAATTTTTAGAGGAAGATTGATTTACAAGTGTGCATCAGTAATGATGAGTGACCATTTGTCGTACTTAAGTCTCAGTGTCTTTTCTGGTCCTTTCATACAGCTTGAAATGTGCTGAGATGACTGCTTCTGAGCATGCTTGTTTGTTTGATGGCTGTCAGGTACTCAGCCATGAAGGGCCCACCTCAGCTGCACTCAGCCCTCTAAGGCCCTTTCAGAACCAGACCGCTGGATGGGGTCTAATGTTCCTGAGCACTCCTTACATGTGAGAAGTGAGAGGAGAAGAGATATGCAGTGATTTGAACCCTTTTCATGGCCTGGCTGATTTAAGATTTTCAAAAGGACTCAAGTTCTTCCTGTGTTTCAGGGATGAATGCACATATCAGTGTTTCATCCTGTCATCTCTTCGGAGATGAAGGAAGAGTGGATCGTGCTCAGCTCATCTAAACTTACCACTGTAACCTAAAAGACACTGAAAAACTCTGCATGGTCCATATAAGCCTGCTAAATCCACTCTCAATGACAGTTGTGTAACAAAAATCATGTCATTTAGTTTTCAGCCTTGAGTCACCTGTCTCCTCTTGGCACAATGCCTGGGCCAAACCTTTTGACCCTTTGGCATGTGAAAGTATTGTGTGATTGGTCAGAGGTTTGTGGGCATGTTTGTTTATGCTAAAATGTGCTCTGACAGCAATGGTGGTATTTTGTTTCAACTCTGTTTCCAGAAGTTGACTGTTGTACCCACAGGGTGACACTTTGGGGCGGCTGTGGCAGAGTGGTTAGGGAAGCCATCCTGGAAACGGAAGGTTGCCAGTTCGATCCCCCGTTCCAGCTGTCTCAGTTGTTGTGTCCTTGGGCAAGACACTTCACCCCTAATACCTCTGATGTGTGTCCCATCAGTGTATGGATTTGACTGGCACCGATTAATCTCCATAGCTGATTGTTCCATGTTAGCTTTGTAGGAGATCTGCTTTGTGAATGGGTAAATGAGGACACAGATTGTAGTGTGAAGTGTTTGGAGTATCCTGGTTGGGTAGAAAGGCGCTATACAAGTGCAGTCCATTTACATTTAGTGTTGTCACTAAGTAATGTGGCTATGTTTGCCTGGTAATCAGAAGTGTTGAGGACCACTGTGCATCTTCCTTTGTCTGCTGGCAAAAAGGTGATGTTCTGGTCCTGGGTGAAAGATGTTATAGCTCATGTTTCATGTGGTGTAAAGTTTGAAGGGGGCGGCTTTTCACATCTACATGTGAATCTAATTCACATCTTCATGCATGTGACCAGATATCTCTTCTGTGATCCTAACAACGCTGCATTTTGAGAGGCGTTTTACTTAATCTGCATGTGAATTTAGGTTACATAACTGGATTTCACATCCAGTTTAAAAGCTTAGAACTCCACACTCCAGGTTAGGCCCTGTTTACACAAGACCAATCTCTATAAATACTGGTGTTTTTTCAATGTTTATTGTGGAAAATAAACAACAACAAACAAACAAACAAAAATAAATAACCCGTTTGTATGGAACCACTGCAGTAATGGAACCACTGCAGTAATGTACCAGGCAGGGTTGCCAGATGGGTCATGATAAACTGTTGTGCTGTTCCTTTACTGATGGTGGTCAGAGGGTCCGGTGGCGCCGGTGCATGGCAGCCTCGCTTCTGTCAGTGTGCCC